GGCAACTGTTATAGGAAGTGTCAGAAGTATGCACAGAGCAACAAAAGCATTTGGAAAGAGCGTGGTCATCTTATTCCAGAACAGCCTTTGGAGTTGATCCTGCTGAAATGCATCTTGAAAGGGCTTTCAGTTCATCACCTAAATCACTCGCATCAATATCGTGCATATCATCATGTGTCCACACTGTCTCTAGTGCCCTGCATTGCTGGTGTAGGTCTTCTTCAGGTATAGCGAGGAGTTTTGGAATATCATACAACATCCCAAATATACTGCTGTGTTCCTTGAGCTGCATGAAACATTCTTCAACTGACTGTATTCACTCACAATCTAGCACCTGGTTAAAAAATTCAACTTTGAATTGTTGTTTGGGGTCTCTTATGGGATTATCCCGTGCCTCGTAATCAAAATGTTGTCTTCTTCGGTGACTCTTGTATTCTTGAATGGGTGGGAAAATAGCTTCAGTGTGAAGTTCCTCTGCCAACTTCTGTGCACTCTTCAGAACGTTTTGAAATCCCTCACCTGACCGCTAAGACTGCAGGTATGACTTTGCTTTGTCCAGTTGCTCCAGATACATCAAGGTCAACACCTTGGAGTCTCTTGCTTACGACATTTATTTCAAACAGTATGTCATGCCACAACACTAAGCCACACAGAAATTTGAAGTTATGTATGTTTCTGGTGATTCCATTTCCCTCTGCCACTGTTCTCCCACGAACAGTTCCTGTCATAGCATTATCCTCCATAATGGCAACTATGGCATCATCTATCTTCCCAATTTGGTATTTGATAGGCTTTATTGCCTCCACTCTACTTTCCCATCGTGTGATTTCAGTGTCAGAGAGGATGTTCCCAGATGTTGATGGAGAGAAAAATATATAGATGCTTTGCATTACATTACAAAATTCAGCAGCCTCACTAGAAGCTGATGCTGCATCACTGACCACCCAGTTCAATGAATGAGAATTGCATGGGACAAAAAAAGCTCTAGGGTTTAACTCTCGGATCCATGTCTGCACTCCTCTGTTCTTTCCTCTCATGTTGGCACCATTATTGTTGCCCTGACCACTCAAGTCATATCGCAATTCCCATATCTTCCAGCTTTTTAAGAAGCACATTTGTCATACCAGCTCCTGTAGTATCATCAATGTCAATAAATTCTAGAAAATGCTTTCTGACAATCACCATTGCAGGGACATTTTCACTAGGTTCTGTTGTTGTTACAAAATGCACCATTAAAGTCATTTGTTCCGTATGGCTGATGTCAGGTGTGCAGTCCAGAATAACAAAGTAATATCTTGCTGACTTAATATCTGCCACAATCTTCTGTTTGACTTTTGTTGCCAGTAACTGTATGATCTCATTTTGAATTGTTTTTCCAAGATAGTGGTGTGTGTATATTTCTTGAGGGGTGACTCTTCTTAGATGCTCCTGGAATACAGCATCAAACTCAGCCATCAGCTCCACAATTTTAAGGAAGTTTCCTTAAAGTGTTTGGCACATACAGCTGATCTGAAGTGCCACGCAGTACTAGGTTTTGGGTAGCAAGCATTCTCACAATGGCAATGAGCCTTTTCAGAACATTTTGCCAGTAAAGAGACTCTGATGCAATCTTCTCTCGACGCTGATCATCTATGGTGGCCTTTAACCTTAGTCTCATCTCAAGCTCTTTCCACCTATGGAATGCTCTCTGATGATTTGCTACCTTCTCATAGCATGCTAGATTTCTAGCCAGATTTTTCCAGTCCTTTGTTCCTGTAGAACCCAATGTGGCTGGAACATTAGACTGGAAGAGTTTGCAACAAAAACAGTATGCAGCATTCCGGGGTTTTGAGTACATAAGCAATGGCCTCTCCACGTTGTCACCATTGGGGATTTCACGCCAGTAATGTGTTGGATGGAAACGTCTATTTTCATTGTCTTTGGGGAGCATGAAGTTTTTCACTTGCTGTGGCCCATGCAGTACAAGGAAGTCCCTCAGGCTACTGTTCAAGTGAGTCCACAGTCCTGGATAATCTAGACTTAAGGAACTAAACTCAGCAGCAGCTGTTTCTTGCGCCTCCACCACACTCTTCTCTGATCTACACGTTTCTTCAGGAATGTGCATGGTTACATCCAGTTGAGAAGGAGATATGGATGCTGCAGTAGCTGCCAGGTCACTGCACTCTGACTAACTGGAAGATCAGGCATCTCCTCACCACTCACATCCTCACTGGGGTTGGAAGGCTCATCGTGAACATTTGTGTCTATGTATCTCAGGAGACCTCCTTCCTGCTTAGCTGGGCTCTGGGGAGGGGATGCGGGTATCTGGGCAAGGGAGGGCCCCGTGGCTGGGCTCTGGGGGTGGTGGTACGGGTATATTACCTGGGGGGAGGGAGGGCTGCGGATGGGCTCTGGGGGGGAGGGGTTCTGGGGGTCTGACCCCCTAGCTGGGCTCTGGGTGGGTGGTAGGGGAGGGTGCAGAGAAACAGGAACTGGGTTGTCATAGTGCAGGGGTCGGCAACCTTTCAGAAGTGGTGTGCCGGAGTCTTCATTTATTCACTCTAATTTAAGGTTTTGTGTGCCAGTAGTACATTTTAACGTTTTTAGAAGGTCTCTTTCTATAAGTCTATAATATATAACTAAACTATTATTGTATGTAAAGTAAATAAGGTTTTTAAAATGTTTAAGAAGCTTCATTTAAAATTAAATTAAAATGCAGAGCCCCCTGGACCGGTAGCCAGGATCCGCGGCCACTGAAAATCACCTCGCTTGCCGCCTTTGGCATGCGTGCCATAGGTTGCCTACCCCTGTCATAGGGGTTTCTTTAACTCTCTACTCCTGGGGGAATTTGTGTGTGTCTCTGTATTGTTACAGATACACTTGTTGACAGGTATTTTGAAATTAATTACCAAAATAATTGAAACTGGCATGATTATATGGTGTTATTTTACAATATTGTGTGCAGAATTTTTATTTTTTTTGGCGCAGAATACCCCCAGGAGTATTCTTGGCCCTTTTAGTGGAACAAGCTCCTTTCTTTTAATCATTTCACTAGATCTTTGTCCAAATGTAATTGTGGATGTTCTCATTATTCATTTAAGTGTCTATTTTTAAAAAAATCTAAGTTCTTGGCCTCAATCTTTTATGTTAACTAGTTTCATAGGTTAAAGGCATTGAAAAATAAAGTATTTCCTTTATCAGTTATAATTTTGTTGTCTTTCAATTTCATTGAATGGCCCCTTGTTCCATGATATGAGAAAAGGTATATCAGGTACTACTCCCGCTCTGTACCATTCATTAGTTTGTATCTCTATCATGTCCCTTCTTATTTATCATCTCTCTAAACTAAACATTTTCATTGTCTACTCATCCAGAACTGTTTCCATGCTGCTACTCTCCCATTCCTGAACCTCCTCTATTTCTTCTATATCTTTGAGATAGGATGATTGAACTGTTAAGGAATACCGTAATTTTAGAAATGCCATCATTTTAATAATATTTTTGGACTTATTTTATATCCAATCAACTAATTTTTGTTTACATTTTTGACTGACATCACACACTGAGCAGAAGTTTTCCCTGAACTGTCCAAAATGATTCTTAAAAAATTGGGCCTCTGCAGAGTTGCCATTTCATTCTTCAATGTTACATGAATTTGTCTCAATCCAAATTCATGTAACGCCAACATTTGGAACAGACAAGTCTTTACTGTATATTTAATATATGACATTTGATTGTGACCCAGGATGGAAATATGAATTAGGAATGTTTTGTGGCTGAGTGTGAGGAGTCTTCTGGAAGATAGAAGATGTGTCTCAATTCAGGCTGTGTCGACAATACAAGGCAGGGGTGTGATTCCTCTGCTTATGTATACATACTCGCACTAACTCATGAGCGTAAACAGAAATACAGCCATGGTACGTGGTAGCATCAGTCACGGCAGTGGAGGCAGAGCTGAGCCATATTGAGTATGAGTCTCAGGAGGATTTGTACTCGGCATGGTTCAACTGTGCCTCCGCTCCCGCTATTGGTGCTACCCTGGTTACACTGCTGTTTATACTCATGTTAGCTCCATGAGAGTTAGCAAGAATGTGTGTACACGAGCAGGTGTAATTCCACCCCTAGCTCGTAGCAGAGACATAGCCATAGTGTCAAAGGCTAGACTGCTTTTCGAAAAGTTTCCATGAAATCTCTACACTATTTTGTCTGACTAACACTAAAAACTTACATGCACAAAACTCTCTTCTGTCAAAAGTTTGAAAGAGAGGGAGGGTTGGATTTTTGTTTGTTATTGTTGTTAAAGAAGATGGGTATGTGTCAAACTGGACTCATGGGGCATCAGCATGTGGCAAGGTTAATAACCTTTGTGCTAATTAGAAAAAGGAGATCATATCATAGATGGATGAGACTGAGGTATGAATGTTCCAAGGGGCACAGAGGCAATGCGTAACACAAAACTGTTATAGGCAGTAATCAGCTCAAACCCAATAGGACACTGAACTAAAGAAAGAAAGGATGAAGCTGTAAGGACATTAAGGATAAATTTCTTTAGATGGAGGGTAATACATTTGTTTGTGGACTGGACTACCATGGTCAGCAATAGAAACTGCAACATTAAATGTATTAAAAAAGGAGTTAGACTAATATTTAGTGTTTGTCCTCTTGCCAATTTCTTTCTTCTTAGATAGAGAAGGATGGCTTTAACCTTCCTCCCTCCCCCAAACACACACACACACACTTACACTTCTATGCTACATAACTAAAGCCAGGCTAACTCAACCAGATTTAATATAAGCTACCAAATGAAAGGCTAACACCAATCAGTTCATGAGTGGGACTAAGAAAGATGAAGAGAAATATTATCAGAGAGCCATTAACACAATAATATAAAAAAAATTAGAACTCAAATTAATCTGGATTTTAATCAAAATTTCTAAGGAAGCCCCTGAGCAGTTAATGGTTTTCCTATGGCAATAGGGACATTCTCAAAAAGTACTGAAGCAATGAGAAAATATTCATACTTCGGTGGTGCAGGTGATGCAGGTCTTTTAGATATGCTTGCAGGAGAATCAGATCTTCTCAGAGGGGATCCCAGGCCAGATGATGAAACAGGTGTTGTGGGTCGCTTCTCTCTCTTTATCTTTTCAGTCTAGAAAAAGAAATTCAGGTGTTTTTGTTTAGCTTGTAATTAAAAGCAATGCTTCAATGATAAACTATCTGTATTAACACAAGGACATATAAACAGATTTGCATAACATTCACATAAAATGGAAGTTTTCTAAATCCCAGCATACAATTGAACTGCAAGATCTTTTTCAATACTGTATATACATTTTTATGTCTTGCACACACAGTATATGCTGCTGCAAAAATACCTTTCAGGCCATAAACAAATATTAATGGAGCGGTACAGAAGGGCACTGCCCCTGTTGGAGCCCAGAAAGCATTGGGTAGAATTTTCAAAAGCATCTAAATCCTACTGACTTCCACAACTACACAGACATGTTCTTTCTATCAATTATTACAAGAGATATGCACTGTCAGGGGATTTGGCAGAAAAGTTGAGCTTTTGTTCTCAGATGCTATGCAGTGACTACGCACATGCAGGCTAAGTTAAGTTTCCATGCCTCTATAGAAAATGTACAGTTGTCAATAGTAAAAATGTTGAATAAATTTCACTTAAAATTATATATACAGAAAGAAGTGAAACTTGACAGGTATAAATTAGTGATGCTGCCAATCCATTAGGCAAGCTACCGGAGCATGAGGAAAATTTGCCAATTCACTAGTAGGGTGGCTTTATTTCTAGTCAAACACTCTCAACGATGGCAACATCCCATTTGCCATGCAGCTGTAAACCCATTCCCAGAAGTACTGGTTTCACAGCACGCAGCACGTCCAGAAAACATGTTTCACTGCCAGAAATGTAGATTCCCTGAATACAGAAGTGTCATTCCCACTAATGCTGGTTAATAGAGGCTACACTGCCTTCCAGGAAGATATTAAAAACCTGCTGATTGGCAGGTGAATAGAACCAAATGGATGTGAATGGTTTTCTGCTTTCTGTTCTTAAAAAAAAAAAAAAAAAAAAA